GTGACCAATCCATTGGTTTCGTGATCACGAACAATCCGGGTTTTCTGGCGTGTGTAATTGACCCGCCACTTTGGTCTGCACACAAATTAGGAGATAGGAGAATGGACACACGGCGGCGGTGGTGAAAAAAATATCCAAAAATAAATAATATACGATCCACGGTATAGGATGGCTGGCGCGACGAATCATGGGTATATATATATATATTCATCCCGATTTACTTCAACCGTTCATGTACCATCAGTCTTCTGCACCAAGCACCTCACACGTCCCAATGCTAGTTTAATCGTTTCAAGTCCGTTGTACGACAAACTGTATCGTTGTTGTATCGTTATCGTATTGTTTGTGTTGAAAACACACTGTCGTTACATATTATTTTAATAATAATTGTATTGTATTAACTCAATAGCAGGACTGCGTACGTACATCATAGATGATAGGCAGGCAGTGATCCTCCATCGTACCGAAACTTAATCGATTTACAATAATCTGTTGGTATATTTTATCGTTCACTTATCTATAATTTTTTGTGGTCCACAACTAAGGACAGTTTTATAGTTTAGCTGTATACGAGTGGTTTCAAATCAGTCTCTCGAGAAATATTGTGATATAATAATAATATTATCGTAGCGTAGATCGGTCTTTATACTTAAAAGAGTACGTCTTAAAGTATAATAATATGTACTTTTGTCGTAATTATCATCATGTTGTATAATACCTACTTTCAGGAGTTTATAAAAACGCTTTCGGTTGTCATCCGCTCTGCATAGCCACATCACATAATAACATCGATAATTTTGCTCTGAAGGTCTATTAATTTCTCGGCTCGACCATGACGAATATTATATGTATATAATTATAACACGAACCATTTAATCAAACTTTTTTTGTCGCTTTCGAGTCGATATTAATGGCTACATGGGCTAATTAATGTTAGAAATTAAACTGATTGACGTTGAGTGTTAAAACTGTGTAATATTATGGCAATAATTTAAACACGCACATTTAATCATTATTGTTTTCCGTCCGGAAATTTTTGTGGAGTTTGTTCTTTATTTTTTTAAATTTTTTTATATGCACCCACTGGCGCAATGTCTAAGGGCAATGTCTCGATTTGCCCTTATAAATAATAAATCCATAACGACGTGGGACCGAACAGAAAATTTGAACATGCTTTGGCTCTTTTGAATGTCTTATAATATTATATAGGGCAAACCGGTGAGCTGCTTCAGTCTGAGGTCGATTCTGTACTTAGCGAATCACGAGTGGAGAACTTAAGGCGACTATATATATGTCATATTAAATTCTTTGGATAGAAATGCTGTGGAGAGGTAGGTACGCCCACTCGAAAGTCTTGTCTTGTGAATTATAAAACGTGCGTTTTATTTGCAAATATAAAATGTTCTTTACTATAATCTTTAGTGGTCCTCGTAGTAGAGAATTTAATTGGCCTTTTAAAAGAAACGTTCCCTCGTCATTATAATCTAATTTAAAACCTTTCAAAAGTCTGGTGAACGAAAACACATTCAGACCGGCTCCTCAATACCACCATACTACGTATAGTTCTCACAGTTTTCACTGGTAATGTCATTTTTGCAGGAAGGCTGGTAAACATCTACGCCATCGCTTGCTTATTCCACGTCAAATATTACGTTTCAGCCATTTTTGTTTTTATTTGAAAATTCGAAACATTTACTATTTGACGTTATACAAGTAGCCTAATGGTCGTGGTGAAGAAAATTAACTTTGGCTATGAAAAACAAAAAATCACGAATACAGTAAACAAAAACTGTTGATTTGAGCACTTTTCATTATTGGTATATTTATTATTTTCGGCTATTACGTGAAAGCAAAAATGATGATGTATTTTGATTTTTCAATTTTCAGAAGACCAAGGCTCTTTTGGCGCAGTATAGTTGTCCATGGAGTATGGATTATCTTTCCCTTGGATATTCGGTCAACGATGCATTAATATTTGCAAATCGTCGGCATACACAAATATAGCCACATAAATATTTATGTTTTAACATTTCAAGACATTATAGCTATAGGAACAATTTGTGTCAGATGATTATTATATAGAGCTGTGCTGTGTTGTTGTTTTTTTTTTTGATGAACATCTCGACATTTCAACTACAATAAGCACATTGTGAATAATGATTCGTACCATGATTTTTGATTTTAAGTAAATGCTTAACTGACGCGAAGACGTGAACGCTTTGATTTAATCACAGTTGTTTCCATAAAACGTTTTGGGGGTTATGATATTGTATTTTAAAATGCAACAGAATATTATACTTAAAAATAGCGTGCAAAAAAAATATAGAATTTTTGATTACATAGAACTTTATACTTTTCTTATAGTTACCTATAACATACTTATCCGTTTTCATGATTTAATAATTATTGACTATTGCAGAGTGTAGAATTTTGTGAGCGTGTGAATGACTTCATATTCAAAATACATTTGTTAAATTACATAGATAAATTATTTTATATTTTATTTTTCAGACCTCCAGAGTTGAACTTTTACATCAGACATTGCATAATAATTTAAATGTATAGCTTTTTGTTTAGTTTTATGAAGTTAGGCGGCCCGGCGTATTGTATAGGCAAATCTGGTACTCCGGTGATTTTTTCAACCATTTTCAACATAATGCTTTCTTCTGTATTGATGATTGGTAAAATATTGAATACTGGTTTCCATTCAACTGGGTTTGATGTGTGTATTGTGTATATTATTACGCAATTCGAAAGAATAGATTAATACAAAACACAAATTGTATATTGTAACGACATAACGTCATACTCACGATTATGTTACACACGGTTTTTTTTTTTGGAATTCTGTGTAAACTGAGAAACGCAATAATATTAGATTTACAGCGATGTTTTTTGAAATTTCATCGTATATTGAGAGACTGGTAAAATATACGAAAACATCTTAGCTGCATGTGTCATAAAATCAATATATCATATTATTATGTAATTTAAATATGTCGCTCCTCAATACCTAGTTGTTAACAGTATTTTCAATTTTGACAGGTCCAAGATTAGTCTACATCGTTTTCTATCAACAAAATGAATTACTGTTTATTCTATACAAGTTATTGTACATGTGGATTTTCGTATGGAAAGAAAAATTGAACATTTAAATGTTAAAGATTAAATATTTTAAACTTTAAACTTTGATATTTCTGGATACAATTTAGTTTTTTTTTAGAGATATTATAAGTTATTAGTAAAATTCATAGATTCTTGTCTTGTCGATAGAAATTTGTTTACATTGAAAGGCTAGTATACGAGATAAATAGTATACTGTATACTATACACAATTTATAATTCCTTGAAGTAAGTAAATTTTATTTATAACGTTTTTATTATTGTTGAAACCTAGTGAATATCCGCTTTATGTAAATAAGAGAATATTTTTTTAGCACAGTTCTTTTGGTTCATGCGTGTAATTTGTATCATTTTATTTAAAACGAAAAATAAATATTCATCTCCCCACCATTACATTTTATAAACTTTAAATTATTTATACAAAATTATTGTACATTCATAAACTGTTATAAGCTTTAAAAATAAGAATTAATTAAATATGTATTTATTTGCTAAGTACTATAAAGTTTACATATACCTATATATAATTTTGTAATATTTTGTAAACATTAACATTCATTAGTATACTACGAGACAATTAATTCAGAAATTATTTATTCGTTTGACATTTCAATATTTTTAAATTCGAGTTACAATAATTATGTTTATTTAACTGTCGATGACACTTTACTTCCTATATAATTTTAATTCGAGAAAAATGTACTTGAAAATGTATTTAATAAATTAATCGTATTTATCAAATTACATAATTAACGATGACGTTCGAATACAAAATTGTTTAAATTTTAAATTGAAATCATCCAATTAAAGTGCTAAGGATTTTCTTTTTGAAATATAGAGTTAAAAATATAATATGTTTAAATATAACAATAATGATATAATAATTTTACTCTAAGTGGATGTACCTATGGCTATATACCTAGTATACCTATATAATGAATATAATGTAGTCATTTTGTTAAAAACAATAATATTATTGTACAGGACTTAGATTGTGTGTTTTAAATGATTAAAATTTAACTCGCGAGCTCGCGAATGTTCAACTGACCATGACATTGCCGTCGTACTCATAAAAAAAGTAAATAAATGTTCAGAGAACAATAGACAGAACATAAAATAATCGTTATTCAATACTGAAACTGGAGCTAGAACTCCAACAAAAGTGCGACCATTATTCGGACAGACTTTTCTGAGTGATATATAATATATATATATACTACATATATCACTGTAATAATAATAATTATTATTGTTGTGTTGTATGTCACGACAATAACTGACATCAGCAATAAAGCTAATAATGGGACACACACACACACACACACACACACACACATATTACAAACGCGGTTCGATACCGGATAACGTGTGTTTCGATTTGAACGCACCGTTTTCACTGTTTAAATAACAGTTTTTCCCCCTACACAAAGGTAATCTAATACTTTCGTCTTGTTTCGTTTATTATTATTTTATTCCTTTTTAATATTACTTGAGGCTTTTGAAAAGTTGAAAGCCCCAAGTTAACGACAGAACAAATAACATATGGTAGAACCACAGCACACGGTGAGTGGAAATCTGATATTATAGTTTGAACAAATTACGGAGTCGTACGACTTTTACGATATAATTTGGAGAAGAAGTACGAATCATCACTCTGTCTCGCGCTTGTAACCGATATCCAACTATAAACCACGCTGTAGTCATTACGATGGAGTAATATAATATAATTTCATTTTTACATTTTGAAACAAGTACCTTTGAAATAATCACAATTATAATAATGTAATATGTGGTGTGAAAAAAAGAAGGTAAAATCACTTTAGAGTTTAAGTGTGTATAGGGTTACCACGGACTGTTGTATTTTTTAATTTACTAACCATTACTGCGGAGCACCACGTAGCCATTTCGTGAATCCTTTGACTGGTTGTACACTTAGCGTCTAAACGAGTTTTTACGATAAAAAAAAAAATTAAAAATGTACAGTATTTTTTGTTAAGCTCTTTTACGGCGACGACTTTTCGAAACGATATATCGAACGACTTGTATCAATTATAAAAGTTACGATTCGCGTTTTATTCAAAAACTGTAACACGACACATCGCTCGGTGGGCGATTGAATATCACTTGGTCCACGATCCGCTTTCACAGCACTTTTTATATAATTGCTCCTTCCATTATTTCCACCACCACGTTTTCTCGTACAACAGTGGTGGTTACTTTTCGTTACTTTTTTTTGTCGACAATAATAAATTATGACCTGGAAAGATGAACCTGGCCGATATGCGACGTATTATTATGTCGTTTTTTACATTGTTTTCTTCACTGCATTACACATGCATACGTTATAATATTATTATGTATACGGTTACGGTCTTCGAAACTACTCCCCACCGTGTATTTAGGTGCCAATACGTTATATACCGGGCAAGAGGTCAATTTTCACTCTCGTTTTCATCCCACTGCCAATTATTTGCTTATACTCATTTTCGATTTAAAACCAAATCTCTATTTCCGATCACCGAATTGTTTTTTTAAAATTATTAAACTGATGTTGTAGGTGTGCGAATGCATATTATTATTATTGTTATTATACTATTTAGCAAAACTGAAAAATTCTACAATTTTGACAGTTTCTTATTAGTTATTATCATTTAATTATATATATTTACCACGAATTGGTCATAATTGTGAGCAAGTGCCGATTATACTGATTAATTTAAATTTTAAATTTATGATACACATTTTATACACTTTTTTAATAATATTTTAAACAACATCATAATTTAACATTTTTATTTTTTAAATGTACTCCAAACATTTTTAATACTTACCTAGCACTGAAATCAAATTAAATATACATAATATATTATGTCAAAGATGAAAATAAATGTAGTATTTGTAAATGTTGCCATAATTTTGTGACTGAATACTTTAATTGTATAGTATCATTTTTGTGGTCGCGTTATTTGAATATAAAATAATAGAATGTAATGATTTTTTTTTATTACCATTTGATTAAGTATTATCAATGAATAATCTCTTTGCCTACATGTTATCAAGCCATATAGTAATTAGCTATGGTTATTACATTATATGTCATCATATATTTTACTGACTGTAAACTTATTATTAATAATGTTAAAATGTATGAAGAAAGAAAGAAAATATTACTATTAATTAATTAATAAACTATACATTTAATTTTTAATATTCTAAGATGTAACATATTAAATTTATCAAATGATAAAATATTTTGAATTATTTATTTCAAATTTATTTACTTGGTTGTGATTGGTGTTCCACCACTGAGATTTACAATACACATACATTATATTTCAAAAAATTTTAAGATATATTTTAAATAGTTTATTAAAAATATAATTACTTATTCTGATTTGAATTGATAACAACCAATGCAATATGATAAGAATAAAAGCATATATTTTTTAATGTTCATTACAATAATATTTGTGTTTATTCGAATATAATATTATATCAGTGATGCAAAAATAGATAAATATAAATACTTTAATTTATATGCAATATATTATAGTGGTTATAATTCAATGTCATAAATTAATGGTGAACAACTTTTTCATACATCTAAACATACATTTTTGGAAAGGACAAACGTAATTATTTCAGATATTATATTATATTGATCGAACAAATTATAATTTTTTATTTTACAATGTAACAAGAACATACATATATCATTTAATAATTAAAGTGGCCAATTTACAATCAGCCAGACTGTAACGAATTTTTAGAGGTATTTCACGTACGATAACTATTGTTCATAAAAATTGGCGTATTATGCGTTTCTATTGTGTGGCCCAGAGGCATTTCAATCTGGCGCCTATTTTAAACTTAGGATTGCGTTTACTATATAATATAATCATACATTAAATACATCGTAATTGTAAATTTGCCTAACTTGCTAAAGTAACAATATTTAACGTTAACCTACTTTGATCTTGAAAACGTTTAGATTAAAAATAGTTTAATACATATTAACATTTACGGTAGGTACTTAAATTTTTTCAAATGAGTATTGTGTCAGAATAAATAAGTTAATTTAAATATAGTGAATTTAATGATTAAATCACTTTAATTTTGGCATCTATGAGTTACATTATTAAACACCTATGTTGACGTTGTTGGATTGAAGATGTGGTATTTCGGTTGAAGTGACAGCAGGTGTTTCAATTTTGGGCACAGGTTTTTCAATGTTGACGATTGGTGTTTCGATTTTAGTGATCGGTGTTTTGGTTTCGGTGATTACAGGAATTTCTATTTTATTAACCGGAGTTAAAGTTTCAGCCGGTTCAAATACTGGTTTATCCAAAGAGATTTCTGATACCGGAAATGGTACATTCACAATATTTTTCTGGGAAACCAGCTTTTCATCATTATTGTAGTGACCTAAGCTTCTGCGTTCCTTCAACATGTATTCAGAACTGTCTCCTTCTAGTCGATCGTTATTGGAATAAGGGTTGACATCTTCACCGAATGGAATATCTCCCCTCAACGGAGAACGGGAACCTTCAACGTTGGAGTTTACTGTTGCGGGTCCCACGATCTGGTCCAAATTGTATTCTGGTTGTATTTGGTCTACTTTACTAATCGGTACTGTAATGTCATCAGTGGGATACACAGCGATCGGTTCCATGGTTGACGTTGAGTATACACTATCGGAGCTAGGAAATACAATTTCTGGCTGTGATTCCAAGTTGGCTGGGGGAGAGATATAGTAAGATATAGGATTTTGATAAAGGGGGTTTGAATCGTCATCCGTATAACGGATCCACGATTCATCTTGATTTGGTTTGATCGGATTCACAGGTTGGGCTGCATCGATCTTGATATAGTTTATCACTTTGGTCAAACCATTGTCACTATTTTGGTTTTGGTAGTTGGGTGTGTTATAGGGTATGTTATCGAGGGTAAATTGATTTGCATTCAATGTATTCATGAATTTTTGGCTTGGCGCGTAATAATCGTTTTGGCTATAGCAAATTCTGTGAGATAGAGGTGGTGGACAGTTATTAAGCCATGGTGAATAATATAAGTCTGAGTAGAAGATTTGTTGTGGTTGCAAAGGTATTTGATTTTGAGTGGGAATTGTAATGATTGGTTCTTGAGATTCTATATCATAATTTACTTGTACGTTGGGAGCATAACTTAAGGGTTTTACAGTAGTGCTGTATTGTGCTGAAGTGAATGGCTGCACAGTTGTGGTGTATTGGTGTGTCATGGTAACAGGTTGTACAGTGGTAACAGGTTGTACGGTGGTAATAGGTTTTACAGTGGTAATAGGTTTTACAGTGGTAACTGGCTGTACAGTAGTAACAGGTTTTACAGTGGTAACTGGTTGTACAGAGGTGATGTGCTGTACAGTAGTGGGTTTTCCTGTAGTTATGGATTCCAAAGTGGTGATTGAATTTTCCGAAGTAAACCCAACATTGTTCTTGTTTTCTTCAATCAACTCTTCGATTGGTATGGTTAGACGATTTTTAAATTTTAACTTCGATTTGATGATGTTGATTTTATTAATAATTTGATCTTTGATTGAAGGTGTACCAACATTTACATAAGTGTCTGGTTGTTTTTCACTTGTATTCTCGCCCAACAAAAATTGTGTGTTTAAATCTTTTTCATATACACTTTTATGTTCTTCTTCTGAACTTAATTTAAGATTTTCTTCAAAATTTCCTTTAACATTTACTTCGGCATTTTCTTCGCAGTTCACTTCGGGATTAATTTCTGGATTTACAATGAGGTCTTCATTATGATTTTCATTTTGAATTTGTCCAACGTTTCCAACTTCTATCAAAATAGGTTTTTCATTAACATAAAACACTTGGCGATTCCACTCAATGACCGCATCATTAATGGCATCGTCTTCAACAGATTCACATTTATATGCGGGGTATATTTCTTCTTCCAAAAGTGGCTGTTCAGTAGTTGGTAGCAAATGTTTTGATATTAAAGACTTTAAAAACTTTAATGGTTTTATACTTGGAGCACACTGTGTTTCATATAAAATGAACGTCAGAAGTATTAGAAATCGCAGTGAGTTCATCCTGAAATAGAACAAACTAATTTAAAATATCAATAAAACCAATATTAAAAAAAAAAATTAAATTGTTAAATTATAATTTATAATAGAAGATATTAAATCGAATATAATATAATATTATATATATTTATCATTAAATTGATAGTAGGCACATAGTACTATTTATGGAATAATTGCACGATATTTATATGAAAGATTAATACGTTGAATTTTAAAATATTTATTAAATTAACCACATCAATATATATTTATTTGTTTTTGATTATTTTTTTAAAAACATTTAGATTTTATAAATTTTTATTTTTATTGATATTTATTCTGTTTCTATTATTAAGTGATTCCCTCAGAGTTAGATGAATTATCCTTAAAAAATATTATTTTTGAAATTTTAATTTTCCATATTTATTGTAGGTATATAGTCTAACTCAGTTTATTATGCAGAAGCCATTAAATATGAAGCCTATTATACATGATTTATTACCTATACTTGTTATTGAATAATCTTGTATATTTGTAGACAAACGTTTTTACGCCGTATTATTCCAAATTCGTATAGGCCCAGTATTCAGAGTGTAACAGAAAGACTGACAAATGAAATAATTTTTGTTTTAATCAATATTTAAACATCTCTTTTGGAAAAAAATTTAAAAACTCTTGTGCTACAAGTACAGTCAAACATTTTTTTTTGTACTTCCTGAAAATTAAAATTAAAAATGTGAATATTTTTGAACAGTATTTCTAAGCCTAATATTTTAGAAAACTTTTTATGGTGAAAACGTCTATTTAAGTCAATTAGTTTAATTTTAGCATCTGTTTAAAATATTACATTTAATATGAAATTTTAATATGAAACTATAAAAATATTCTTTTTGGGAATTTCTTGACTCAAGTATATTTCTTAAAATATTTATTTTCCATGTAACTTTCATAATTTTCGTCATATGTTTAACTAGTATCAATTTTTTTTCTTGTCAGGTCTTCTTTTTACACTCTGTATTTATAAAAAATAAAATTGACATCATGAATTTTAACTAAATAATAATAATTATGAAGCTATAGTTTGTAATATGGCGAAATTCGTATGGGATTGTGAGAACATATTATTTAAAAATATATTTATTTTTACTTAATAAGTAGGAAGTTATATCATATTTTTTACTTTTTAGAAACTATTAAGAAGTGAATATTTAGTTTTGATATTGAGTCTGGCATCTAAATTTATTCTCTTAGTGGTGAACGTTTTTTTTGTAAAGTGTGTGTAATATATATAATACTTGTGTGAATGTAAGAAGATATTTATTATTTTTGAAAAAAATACATCAATCGTAAACAAATTATATACGAGGTATTCGCATAAAAAATAAAATACCAGGAAAAGCCAAAATAATCAATTATTGTTAACTAAATCAAACCTAAAGAGTTGTCATTAAATATAGATTTATGCCAATTTTTCCATTTATTTTACTTTAAATTTCAAATCTAAAATTTAGATGATTGAGTACAACGTAAAAATGTAATGAACACAATTTAACACGACCAAATTTGGTTATATGTCGGAAATAAAATAATTTTATGATTACAATAATACTAGGTATATGAACTAATGTTGGTGGCCATAACATGGTAGTTATGTCATTATTGGCAATATTCGGAAGTAATCTTATAAAATTCATATAATTCAACTATTTTCAAATTGACTCATGATATAAACACGTCAGTATTTTATTTTTTTTAAATCTAATGTGGATGTAAGGATTATGGTAAATGCTGAAATAGGTTTTAAAAAATATTTAGAGTAACATGCTTAGCAAATGTAACAGACGATATTATACCATATTTATAAATTATAAGACTAAAGTCACTTAAAATATTGAATGTATTTTTAATTATTTTAGACTAGCAAGTGTAGCTAGAAGCAACGAATGCATTGTTTACTCATAAAATATGTATGTTTTATTTTTATTTTTTGTCCATCATAGGTAATCTCTTAGAGCAGTAAAATGCTTCAATCTTAAACTTTGAAGAAATGACTGGTTAAAGTTGGATTTATTTTGAGAATAAGGGGCTTCGCTGAATTATAGAAAAACAGGAATAGGTATTTACAAAGCATCAATTTTAGTTATACTGTTGTAATTTGAAAAATATTTTGGCTTCAGACTTTTTGACATTACTTATATTTGTATAACTTAATAAGTTGATAGTATACTTGAATATTAATACAACCTACCTATTACTAATAGAAAAATAAATGTAAAACTACTTTAGAAATATAAACTGACAGGCCGTCACCACTCAGTGATTTTTTGATACAGTGGTAATATAATTATAATAGTGTATCCTTTAATTCTAATTTAACACATTTATTACAGTGACCTACTTAGTAAAAATGTATTTACACTTTTTACACTTTAACAATACGGCAAACGACTTCCACGATTTTTTAAATTTTGTATTGTTATATTTTGGGAAATTGTAGGCTATCTATATGTTATAAAGGCTAATTCACTAATCATGCTCACCGCTAATTTTTCCTTTAATAATGTATTTATTAAAATAGTGCTTTTTGAAATTTTTATACATAGTCAAAGACGATTTTTTCAAACTCTTAAATTGTTTGCATTACTTAGACCTTAAGGAATGTCCTGTGGCGAAACAAACTTCTGCTTTTTAAATAAGAGCCCCCCTTTTTACTGTAAATTAGTTAGTGAATAATTTTTTAAAAATGTTGAAGTACCTAATTCAAAATTCAAATGAGTAGTTTTTTAGTAATTAAAACGATTGTACTGAAGATAATTCTATAATAGTCATTAATATGGTCTTACAAAAATATAAAATAGACTTAATATTTGAACTAGTATATTTTATTATACTTGGGCCATTTTTACAAATAATTTATGTTGAGGGATTAATATTAATGACTAAAATCTTTAGGTCACCATATTTCCCTTATCTTTTAAACCCAGAAAAATGGGGCATGAAATTTGTATCCTTAGAACGCAAATTTAAATAACTCAAAATTACTCATACGAATTTTAATTCTGATACGTACAATTTTTTCACAAAAATTATCCATTGATTAATTCACAGAAAAGGTTCTCATTTGAAAAAATAGAAGTTTCTATCTCTACAAGAAGAATAGAGATAGAAAGAAGAATACAAAGTATATCAAGAATTTGAAAATTTGGTTTAAAAATTCCAAAAATTATATTTTTACATTAATGAAAAAATACAAATTTAATTAAAATCGTAGGTATAAAATAAAATTTAAACTTATTATATTATGATTTATGTGTATTTGAAACAATTAATTTAAGTTGTTAAACCAGACTTATTTTTGTTCTATAATTCTGAATTACTTAATTGTACACTTTTATTATGTAATAGTTGTTAGTTTTGAATTTAACGAAAACCCTTTTAATTAAAAATTTCAGTTGTAAATAATAATTAACTTAATTAAATAATTTTTGTTGCAAAATAAATAAATACATGGGCGTTTATTACATACGTAACACTATACTTAAACGCTAATTAATATTAAAATAAATGAAAATATAAAATTTAGTAAAATGTTACATAATATAATATAAATGCATTAAATCTTTGACTAACTAATTAAGAAATATACTTATAAGTTTTACGATAGTTTCATTTTTTTTTAGTTCAATCATACTTTAGATTTTTTATTCCGTGTCCCGTTTCTGTTCTTGAGAAAAAAGCTACTAAAATGTCAAGTACCCATAGGTTTATAAATTAATAAGTTAAAAAGTGAGTTTTTAAATTGCCCAGCGTTAACCACGAATATTTAGAAAATCAATGAAGGAATTAAGCCTTACATCATTTTGATATAAATTGGGACATTTTTTGGTAAACTGAGTACTGCTAAGATTAAGTTGTTCATATTATTTAACTTTTACTTTATGGACTGCATTTATAGTCTGCAGTAGACTTTAATAATTAAACTATGATAAAACCTAGAGAGCCTATAGATTATAGTAATAAACTAAGGCTTTCTAATAAAACATAACGGTTATAGCCTTATAGTTCGACTCTCCCAACGAAAAGGTAAGTAACTCAATTTTAAGATTTTTTCTTTTTTTTCAATTTAGTACTTTTTTTCTGGACTTTCAACAAAGACGACAGTAACTGAATCTTATTGCATAAAAATATCTTTGGTTGATTTATGCTACAATCAGCTCTGGAAATCCAAATCGACGTATAATTGAGTAAGAGTAAAATTGAGTTACTTCTCTCTTCAATGGGGACAGTCGATGCATTCATCAGCATTTATTACTTCTAAGAATTTTGATTAAAATTGGAGAAATGCAAGGACGAGCTAGATTGCATTGACAAAATCGATATTGGTAACTAATTTGAAATAAATAACATTCGATGTTTGCAGTCCTTTTTAAAATTTTCGTCAAACCAAATTATGTTTCCATTTCACCAAAAATAATAGATTATTTCAGTCCATATTATCCAATATAGTTAATGTATCTTATATAATACGTATGTTTTCTTCAAACTGTTACGAATATGATTACCAGATACTAATTCATTCCAGAAAATCTATTTAGAACTTTTTCTGTGCAAAATGCCAAACATACGTACAATCTTAATCAGCAAAATTAATTTTTAAGTTATTTAACATTATTTTTATTTTACTTTTTATTAGTTGTAGACTCTTTTTAGTAGGTAATTTTAGTAATATACATATTATAATAAAATGATTAAGATACATTTATTTCAATTTCTAATTTTACAGAAAAAGATTTATTGAAGATTAATATAAGACGTCTTGGTTATAACTTACAAAAATTATTTGCATGTTATTAAATTTTAACACAATATTTTTTATTATTTTCGTTTATTAATTTTGAACACTTAAAATTAACCTGTTTAAAATATTAACATATTGGTGTAAATTATATTTGTTTTTTAAAAATATTTTAAAGAATAAATCGTGTAACAATACCAAAATAGAGTAGCATTAAATACAAATAAGTTCAAATGCATTCAAATATAGTAAGATTAGTGTGTTTTATATTGTTAAAAATGCTTAAATTAAATTGTCATTGTTATCGTTATTTAATAACTAACTTGTTGTAACATGTAATATGTTGATACATTTTAATTTTTAATAAATGAAAAAAAAAATATATTGTTAAATTAATATCTTATATCTATGTGGAAAATAAGGAAGTATAAACTTATTCTTAAATTAATTTTATACAAATAATTGTTAAAAAATATCTCAATTTTAACATATCTATTTCAAAACTAATATGTATGTGCGGTATCATGCTTGATAATAATGAAATCGTAGTTAAATGTACTAAGTTTATTATTCACCATAGTTCATTTTTCGTTAATGCATTTTGGAGGAAAATACAAAAATAAGAATTTTGGTTGCGTAAAAGGAAAAGTGAGATTTAATATGGAAAAAGAGATCCTGCCTTTTATTATCCAATAGTTATAATTTTTCATTAGTTTCATGATCATTTTATGTTCCATCAAAAAAACTTAAACATGAATAAATGTATTGAAACTACAAATTTTAACTATATCATTAATAGTATATTTCCTATATCTAATATGTAATTTTTAATTGAAAGCCATGGCATTTGAATACTAATTTAATTCTTTGAATTATGTTAGTTAAAATTTCTATTAAATTTTATATGTTTAATTTCTTTGGGTTAAGTTAGTATTTTTAGCTTTAAAATGTACTTATTTATTTTTGTATGCACATTATGATACTCAATTTATGTTGATAGCATTACTCATAAAAGGTATATTATTTTTATCAGCACTTAAAATCTAAAACATCGTAACATCGTATAAACAGTAAACACTATAATGAACAGCAGTCTCCCAGAAGCCAGATTGAATTGCTTTTCAAATGCGATGATTTTATTATTGATTTCAATTTTATAACAATACCCTACTGCATTGGTGCTTTTGATTTTTTTTTTAAATGTGAATAACTTTTAAAGACACTAACAGACATTATTTTCGTATATTTTTAAACACTATTCAACGTACTTAAATTATATTGATTGGGTATTTGAGAACTATATGTATAACATAAATAAACATAGCTTCACAGTTTATCTTAGCAATTGTACACACAGAATACGCATTCATTCTTACTCGTAGAATAAATGCATGAATTAAATGATTCAAATATTTTATTTACCACAAAATATTCACTGGATAACGAATTGGTACTTAAGATTTTTACTTTTATTGGTATAGGTATGAACTATTAGATCATATTTTAGATTTTTTCAAAATGTATTCAAATTATATATTTTAACGTTGAAGTGTATTCGTATTTTGCAATAGTAAATTATCTATTACCTACTTATATACTTGAATAATATTTTTAATTGTTTCATCTTTAAGATATTAAAATATAATTTTAATTTTTCAAAAATTTATTTTACGAATTGAAATTCAAATCATCAAAATTGAAATTAAGATAAAAAACTATAATATAATTTAAGTAATATTAATAGATGGTAGAATATATAAATTAAACACTCCTATAATATGTTACAATTTCACAATATCTTTGTGAACAATAGAACAATTAAATTTATGGATACTAGATTAAATCTTTGGTCCGAAAACAGTTAGATTCAGCATTAATAATATTAATAACAGCTATGTTATTTAAAAATAAATGTTTAAGACTAAATATAGTTTTATATTTGTTTTTCATTTAAGTCATTAGTAATAACTAATAAGGAACAAAAGGTATATTGATATAACATATACATACTATATTAACGTCACATGATATTATTTTCTTTTGTTTAATAACTTGTGCATTTCTCAGAAGTTTGTCATATTTTATATTTTTGACAGATAAATAATGTACTTCAATTGATGAAAAAAAGTTTATCTCTATTTAATAATAAATAATAAACAAATATCTATTCAAATTCATTCTGTACAACGAGAATTTCGGAAAAGTAGTTAAAAGTAGAACTACATTTGGTTAATAATAAATAATAATCGTACGTTAAATGTATTGTACTGTATGATTAGATTATCTTAATTCCGCATCTATGCATTTAAAATTATTGTCATTTTATTTGTTTTTCAAAAAAAAGTCAAAATTGATTTAAAAAAAAATATATTAATCTTATTTAGTTTTTTTTTTATATTTTATACCATTTATTATTGAGTTAGGTAGTACAGATTATATTTAAATTATATATATGAATGATTTCAAACGTCTTGGAAAGACTGATCGAGCAAATAGCTTGGTATTACATATACAAATCGATCGTAAAATGTGCTTAAATATTTTATGTTATTTATTATATCGAGGAAAAATTTTAAATCCGAAATGCACATCATAAGCTATAACTAAAAATATCAATACAAATTTAATAAATGTTAGTCGATAATAATATATTGAATGGCATTATTTACGACATTTGAATAAAAGTTTAATCGAATAAATGTGTGTGGCAAGTGACATTACATAGTACTATAATAGTATAATAAATATCAATAACTGTAAATTTACTATACTATAAATTATAGAACCAACAATAATTTACTTACTTGAAGAGTAAAATCAATATGCCTGGACAAGTGGTATTCCAATGAGCTGTGGTCTGAAACTGTTCGACTTATGCACTGTTATTGAAATATTAGTTTGATATCAGGAATATTTATACATTTGTATATGGCTTAATGTAAATAGCATACATACAATTAAATTCACATTTAATTTGCCGGACGATATTTTAGTGGTGAATCGACATTCCTGGGCCGAATCGCACAAATGTCTACGCTCGATTATCAACCGTCGTTTTGAAGGTAGGACGTACCCATATAATGGTATGCAGGTATGTAGTTAGTAGGTACCTGCTAGGTATATTAACATTTTACAATAAATAATAATGTGAAATTAATTAGATAGAATTCAAATGAATAGCTCCGATAGTCCGATATCGATTTACAACTCAAACTGTAATAAATGCAGATTTGCCCAAATAACAAGTAAATGTACCTATTATTATTCGAGTATAATACCTACCTTTTCCTGTGTTTCGAAATCAATGAAATTATTTTTAAGCTTGAATTATATTAAATATTTCCTTTTGATTTGTATAATTTAATCTATATCAATATAATATACAAGCTTGACTGTGTGGTTTTCTCGTTTTCCTGTGTGAAATGTTAACCTTATTGCCTATAGCCAACTCTGTATGTTTTTACAAACATTTGAGGATGTCTTACGTTTGAAAAAAACACTCAATATTTTGGTGGAGATTTAGGTAAATAAAATAATTATGATTTATTTCCATTTAATTATTGTTTTTTGGATTTCTTTAAGAGGATTTTTGGGGGCCGTTTGTTTTGTCTCTGTAACCCACGCTCAACATAGCAAATTTATAATTTGTAGAACCAGCCCTATTGTTGTCACTTTTAATATTTAAGTGAATTTACCTATCATCAAATCTTAAGCTAAAAAATTTACCTGTTTCCTGATTTTTGACAACATTTTAATTTTTATACAATTTATAAGCAATTTTAAATTGTAATAATTAACATGCTCGTAACTTACAGTTTAAGTGAAAATAATTTATACATTTCACAGTATTATTAGAAAAAATATGACATGTTGACATATGATTACCATATAACACAATCATATTGATAAAACGAGCACAATTAACAATACAATAAAATCGTATTAATTGATTTATAATGTGACGACTACAGATATAAACTTTATTGACAATAATATGTTTAATTATTTTCTGAATTTTATATTTTTTAAATAATTTACATAGTTATTGGTATTTATTGGCTCTATAAGTCCTAGTGTAAAATATAAATCCATGTATTAATAATATAATTTAAGTAGGTAATTAATATTATAACAATAATTGTGGTAGACAATAAATGTAAAAAAAATAATAATTTTGCTCTATTATTGCGTGTGTTTTTTTTATAATAAATACTAATAGAATGGTTTTTTATCATGTCAAATCGCTGTCTTCATTTAAAACTCGGACAGTTTTTAGTTGGACAGCCATGACCCGAATTTTTCTTTATTACGTTTAAAGGTGTTTTTATCAAACAATTAAATTAACTCTCGACATGTTATTGTGAAATGTCACACATGTTGCTCAATTGCACTATTTGTACTTAAATTCTGTCATGTAAATATTATTCGGTTATACCTATATAATGCCACTTCAAAATTAAACAATAACGTAATTAATACATTAAAATATTTCAAAAATATTTAAAACAAATTTAAAATTAAAATTGCTAGTTCATATATTTTATTACAATGTTGTAGCTATAATGGCTTCTGAAACCATTTTAACATTAGCACAATAGCATATCTTGAAATATAAGTAGATATACATACCTATTTATACCAAACCAATATACTGTTATTTTTTGTATACGATCTGTATATTATATTTATGTGTGGAAAAATTATTATTATTGATATGAGATCAATAAATTTGACGTAGCCATGCACCCATGTAGGTCCTATTTTACAATATATCTTACCAAGTTATTTTTACACTTCATGGAAATTTAATGTTTGGAACTTAATTACATATTTTCAGTTATAATCATACGCGCATGTTATTACATATATTACACATACTTCTAACATACGTTGCAAATATTTCTGAAAATAATCTTCAATTTAAATTGGACATAGACCATAAAGTCATGCAATTAATTTAAATTAGTATATAACGCAACAGGTTGTATAATATTTCGATTTTCGAATATTTGTAATTTTGATCACAAGGACCAGATTTCATATATTTTATTTTCTAACAAAATATATAATTTAAACTCAATTCCAATTAAATTTAATTGTTACGTTATTTATTTTAAACAATGTTATGTTTTTTAATCGTCCAATCCTTTATGTTGTCGGTCGAATAATATGTACATTTTAGGTAGGTAAGTTGGTTTTTAAAATTTACGAAAAAATACTAAAATCATATTTTTGAATACTAAAGAATAATATTAAATTAATATTGATTAAATATTACTAAAGAATATTCTTTACAAAATTTCAAACGAAGCTAAATTTTTTCAATAAAATATGTTATCACCATCTTGAAAAATAATTTTTAATCTATTCCATTTTGGGAGAGACAAACACGGTGGAACATAATATTCCATGGAATATTGCAATAATTAATTATGTTTTTTTATTATTAAAGAACACAATAAATGATAATAATCCAAACATATTTTTAAAATACATTCATTGTATGTGATAAATAGAGTATAATTCACCAAGCATGCTCACTCCTTTTTTTTACAATAATACAGTTATTCAAAATCTGACTTTTCTAATTTTTAGATACGGTATACTACTTAAAGACAATATTTTAAAATTCTTGAGATTTTTTTGTTTTATTTAATGAGTGTCTTGTAGAGGTACAGACTTCTGTTTTTCAAACGAGAAACCCCTTTTTTACAATAATTTATGTAATGAATAGTTTTCTAAAAATATTGATTGATTTGTATTTATATATTTATTATATTTATTTATTCATTTTATTTAGTGTACTAAGGATAATAACTCCATGATATTGCAGGGTTTGTAAGATATGGGAGTTATGGTGATTTGAACATCTTAGTGATGGATATTAAAATATAAGTATTAACTATTAATATTAATAATTTGTAAAAATAAGTAAAAAAAATATTAGATCCAATATATGTATTAATTTTATAGTTTTAAAAAACCATTTTTATTGACTATTATCTTTAGTACAAATATTTTAGTAACTGAGGAACTTCACAAAAACAGATTTGAATCGGAATCAAGTAAGTACTAAAATCTGTATAGTTAAAACGAGAGGTTCTCATTTGAAAAACAGAAGTTTTCATCGATAAAGAACAGTCCTAAGTAGTAAAAAATAGTCCAAGAACTCTAAAACACGATGTATGAGTATATTTAAAAATTTTAAACAACAGAATTTGAATAAATTCTTTATTAAAGGAAAACATTAGGGTATTCTGTATAATACTTACTTAAAAAAACAATTCTTTTGCAACAGTTACTGGAAGTTTTATTTTTACATTTTACTAGTTTGTTTATAATATGTACATATATATTTTTTATTAACTGAGGAACTTCACAAAAACAGATTTGAATCGGAATCAAGTAAGTACTAAAATCTGTATAGTTAAAACGAGAGGTTCTCATTTGAAAAACAGAAGTTTTCATCGATAAAGAACAGTCCTAAGTAGTAAAAAATAGTCCAAGAACTCTAAAACACGATGTATGAGTATATTTAAAAATTTTAAACAACAGAATTTGAATAAATTCTTTATTAAAGGAAAACATTAGGGTATTCTGTATAATACTTACTTAAAAAAACAATTCTTTTGCAACAGTTACTGGAAGTTTTATTTTTACATTTTACTAGTTTGTTTATAATATGTACATATATATTTTTTATAACCCTTTGTTTCAAGTAGAGTAATTCATATTTTTGAAACTAAAGACCGTGAGCTACAATAACATAAATTTAAAATAACGATAACAATTTTATTATTATAAATAATTATAACTATACAGACGTATCGGGTAGCGAACACCAACCCTACAGCCTCTTCCACTATGGATAATATTATAACGACCTTCGGCTTATTCTAGCTAGCCTCTTCTTATTAGTTCTTTACTGTGACCTGAATATTTATCCCACATCAAGAAACTCATCAAGTCATAACACCTAGAATATGTATCGGTTTAACTCGTCCATCGCATGTTGCTCACACTTTTGAGATTTATAATATGTTATTTTTAATTATAAAGCAATGGCCCAACAAATGGAAATCAAACGTGCGTTAAGCTTACTCACTAGTTACACTTCATACATATTACATCCTTCACATTATTTTCTATCAAAAAATGTCAATCAGCCCCCAGTTTTGTCTCTAATGAGAGCCATGATAGTGACTTGACTTATATGTACGTACTCGTTATTTAATCACGTATTGTACTAATTTAAAAACGTTAACAATGAATTATTTATCACAGGATTTACAACAACTCGGTGTTTTTAATGAACTTGGACATATGGATTTTTTAGACAAGTGTTTGAGTTTATTATTAAATAACGGATCACACAAGCTATGGGGACAAAATTAATGAAATCAATATCGTATATATGACATGATAAAATTTAATTAAAAATATCTGCAAAGTATGTAATATGTATACGTTGTAAATAGCTTTTATTTGGAGAAAACCCCATGAAGTAGAATAGTGATGTTTTTTTTATCTTCATAATAAATGATTGACCTTTTTAATAATTTATATTATGTTGTACATTGGTGTTGTCGTTATGATATTTGAAATAATAATCACTATAAATAGCACGTGTGCAAATGAATATAAAAAATCTTGTATTTGTTTAAATTAATTAAGAATGATTTAATAATTTGCAATAGGTACCTAACTACTTTGATACTTTGGTCATTATCAGATTCAGGTTAGTTGTTTGGAAGTTTGACCCTTAAAAAAATAATATTGATCTAACAGATAAAATTTAAAAGTTGAACGACGTTGCATTTATACGACAGATTTTATAATTCATTTGTCCAGCCCTCCAATTGTTCAGGTGAAATGCAATGCATTATGAAATAATTGAAATGTAGACGAAATTGTTAAGATGTGTTTTTTATATATAAACTGGTTCATTTTTTACCATTCAAAAATAGTAAAGTTGACAGTTTGAATTTATTACAAATTATACGATTTAATGTTCCTCTAGTTAAAATCCAAAATTGTCGTTGCTCTATACCAAGTCACAGGCAGACAACTTTTTTCTAAGTATAAAAACAAAATAACTTAATTATAAGTTATGGTTTAACATTTTTCATTTTTTTAAAGACAAAAATTCTAAATGAAATATGGTATCCTAAACTTATAAGTTATAATATAACATTAGTTAATTAAGTTATATTTTGTATATTCTTACTTACTGCACAATCCATATTATTATGTATATATGTTTCAGTTTCATATTATCTAAGTATTGTACACTTACCTCCCGCTGGTGTAAATTATTTAATAAGTCAATAATAAATAATTTGTTGTTGAACTTTTGGTCATTGAACGTTTTTCATTAATTTAAAAATGTTCTTGAATAATGATACATTTATAGTATTTAAAAGTGACTTGAAAATATAGGTTAAAAACATAATCAGTTGATATAGTCTTTAAAAACATTTATAGTCATAAATTATTAATCATTTTTGATCACTATTTGTGTGAAATATAGGAACTAATAAAATATCTTAACAGGTTGACTGTTGAGTTCGTGGAATTATTTTTTCTTAAAATATTTAAAATACCTATCTAATCTAAATAATATTAAAGTATAATATTGTAATTATTGTTCAATAATTTAAACACAATATTATAGCTCCACAATTCTCCTCCAAAATAAAATATTATTCACATACAATTATTGTTGAATGTTTCAGAAGGATATATCTATATCTATACTACTATATAAAATGAAGTCACTTTCTATTGTTCGGGATAAACTCCCAAACTTCTTATTTAATCGTTATGCAGTTTTTTTTAAATTAAAGAGTACAACACAGAGAAGGTTTTAGGCATACATTTTTCGGATAAAATAAACGTGTAAATTGTATACCTATACCTTTTTTAGTAAGAAATAGTTGCTGGCTGAAAATAAATAACAATCAAACTCGACAACCACAGATCCTTCTAGTCAGGTCGGTATTGACGTGGAATGATAAACAATTATTATAATTATTTAGTTTAGCAAAAAAAAAAAAGACAATGAATTTTATCTGAATATCTATTATTAGTATTTATAATCAATGGTGTTACATTAGTCATTGGTAAAAAATAACTAATCGAATTTTCACAAATTGTTTGCTAAGATAGTTAGTTGAGTTGTACATATAGCCGCTCAACAGCACATCCACAGTCAAAATAAAAAATTAAATTAAATTAAAAAATATTATTCATATAGTGTATTTACCTAGCGTGGGGTACGATAGAAATAGTATAATATAATATAATTTAATATACTACCGCATTATAACAAGCGAGTCTCGTGTATAGATTTGTCATTTTCGACGGACAACGAAGTGCGCGGGATCAGCTAGTATATAATATAATAATCCAAATGCAAATCGTAATAATCCTATTGTTTAAAATTATTATTACATTATTCTCGTGAAAGTCAGACTATATAGATAAAATTGTGACTGCCATTCTGTAGAACGGATACTAAAATTATATTTTTTTAACATTTTTATCTATTTATTTCTCACTTTCTATTAATTTTATTCAGTGAAATTTTTATGGAAATACCTTATTGGAAAACCATTTGTGGAAGTAAACTATAAAACTCCTTGAAACTTTACACTGTAATGTTTTATGTAGAGCTTTCAGAAAGTTCTTTGTAAATAGTACTCGAACTTTTTTTCGTCTTATTTTTCAATAATTAATTATTAACATCGCTATGTGTTCTTAAAAACAAATTAATATTACTATGATATTTTCCATTTCACGTTGACTCTTATAAATTATGAAACTTCATTATTTTAGCGAACGTTTATTTATTTTCCATTAACATGTGGAACAATTCAAATTTCAAACATAAGATATATCATTCAAACTTACAGTTTTAGTTAATACATTTTTAAGAGGAAAATAGATTGTTCACGCAGTAATACCTACAGACTACATTTTATTTTGTGACGAAAAATATTAAAGGTATAAGTATAATAATATTTATTTGGCTTTGAAAAGCGATAAAATAACTTAAATGGAAAAAAACAAACGGACTTAAGACAGTTTGTATATGTATATTGTATATATGTATATTTTTAAATTAAAAATTAGTTTCGCATCTTTAAGACCTAGGCCTCTGATGGTGTGGCGCTGTCGGGTTGAATAGTTCCATTATTGACTTTTCAGGTATGTTGTATTCTCTGGGTCTTAGTCTGCTAAAATCACCATTCACGTCCACGTATGGTCTTTCCATCTCCAAGTTGGGTTGGGCGCCTGAGTCCAATAACTGAAAAAATACACACATTTTTCGTTTTAATAAAAATAACAAACAATATGGGTAGGTAGGTACTTAATAAATATTACACATCGCCGTTTTTTTAATAATCAAGTAACTTAAAGATGAGCTTTTAATTAATTTTTAGTTCAAAATGAAATACTTATAGCTTTGAATTCAATTGACTTTTTTATATTATACACATTTTTCTGATAACATGTTGTTTGTCTACAAAACAAATGTATTGTATTATATGAAATAATGTTGATATGGTATTAAAATAATTACATTTTAAATAAAAGCTGTATATTGTAATACCATGTAACACGAAAATTGAAAAGACGGGCCTTTAATTTTAGGTAGTATATTTAACAGTTTACTTGTATATATATAAATACATGAGTACGCATTTACCCATAAATTAATGTCCATTACTCCATTTACTTATTCGTTTTCTTAAGGTACATTTCTTCTATGTGAATTATTTGATACGTATATTTTTTATTTAACTTTAAACGTTTAAGGGTGTTTTTAGAATCAACGTAAAATAAATATAACAAATAATCCAAGTCTTCACAGACAAGAAGTCTTGTATCATCGAGTATTTAAATACAGATTGATGTCAAATACCTCAACTGAGTAAATAGGTATTATATACACCAACGTTTTCTATTTTTATCGTCGGATGAAATATAGTACACTTATCATAATAATGATTTTATACATATATGTAAATTTCGATGTTACGATTTCTCTTTGTAAACCGATAGAGGTACTTAAATATTCTATCGTTAGTATTCGAATCGAATCCTTACTGAGATTCGGACGTAAAATGTAATAAGGTTAACTATTTGCGGATGATACGATTTTTTACGCACTACTTCCTACATCATAACGACAACGGATAAGCCACTTTATTTTGCATTGTCCACCGTAGCAGTGCACAGCGCACGTCGTTTACGTAACTATATGCACATTTGTCACAGCCGGAACACAAAACGATAATACATCATATAGTTCAGCAATTTATAACTCTGATTGTTGAAATTTCTTCGAGGATACAACTTTTTTGTTAATTTCTGTTACAATAAACTTGAATTAAAAACGTCGACGACAAGTGTGTCAATTTATCGTTACCGATGAATCATATTAACTTTTACTTTAAAAACAATGAAAATAATAATACCAAGACGCATATATGTTAGATATACTTAAGTGTCTCCAGGTTAATAGCGTGTTATGATATTCTATAACAAGAATAATATGCTATGTTACCTATTTTTAATCATCGATGGGTGTAATATTATTTTAATAAACAATTCCAATAGTAGTAAATACTTAACAAAACATTAAATTCCGCTAAATATTTGATAATTTATTACTAAGAATATATTTAAAGATTTTATTGGATGAATATAAAATAACTTAAGGTTTAAAGTAATGGATTGATCATCTATAAACTTAAAACACAAATGAACGGTTTTCTGCTTATGATATATTTATAATATAGTACCTATATGTATGTATTATGTATAATATGTATATATTAGTTGTAATCATAAAAACTGCAAATAAATACATAAATTGGTTAAATTAAATTTGAAAAGTTTTTAATTATTGGTATAATGATTTATTTGAATTGCCATATTACTAAAAAGGCATGATTTATTATTCAAAATTATATTAATTTTGAATTAAATGTTATTTTAATTTTTTTTTGATAGTAACCTTATCGATAGTGAGAATACATAAATTTAATAAATAATAGCATATAGTTTTTTTTTACTTTTTAATTTATAACTGTTATCTGTTCGTGGTTACACATATTTCTAATTCTGTGGGGACCGGTAGAGCTATTGTTGGCTTAATAAATTATGTGAGGTTTTTATTTGGACAACATTTTCGGGGCCCGGAAAGTGCGCTAAAAGTTCAGTACACAGTGTGTATTTGTCCTAATCTGTAATCATATTATGTTGTACCTATTAATTAAGCAAGATTTTGATCTTTTAATTGGTAGGTACTGGTACTCTTTATTTGAAATAATAATCAATTTAAAATTAATAATAATTAATACTTGAATTGCCTCCAAAAACACTCATACGATTTTCGCTGTTATATTACTATTATAGTAGATATGTTATATTATATTATTAGACAGGGAGCTATTAGAATGTCCAATTGTGAAACAATGTGAAAAATAACTAAACGGAACGCACAATGGCAGAATTTAAAATCACGGTCCGGATATTCTGGTATTTGATGGTAATTACCACAATGTATTTTGACATGTATAGTTTCATTCTTATTGCAGATGAAAATGCAGTAATTTGTAGGCTGTAATTGTATGTCGTTTCTGATGATTTGATTAGAACTTTAAATTATATATTTGTAACTCAAAAGTAGGTTATTTATAAGTGGGTATACCGTAAAACAATATAAGTCAGAGAGGGATAGACGACAGTCACACACTGCACCAGACCAAACAGTACACGTCCCCGTGTCACCGTCCACTGTACATCTGTATCACTTCGGATAATTGTAAATTCCGTCCTGAAAACGTAAAGGTGAAATGTCGGAGCATATAATTTACTTACTGTACAACGTGGACCGTTATATTCAGAAAAGTAAAAATCCAGAAAAAAAAATAAAAACAATGGTTTTCAAAATAGTTTTGTTGATGTCATACTAAGTTAAGTAACATAATACTTAGCTAAAGTAAATAAAAAATATCTTACGGTTATATAAGTTATAGGTATCATATATATTATTAAATGCCATACAGCTATGAGTCATAAACACAGCATTATCGTATAGCTGATAAAAATGGAATAGAACAACTCGTTTAGTTAAGACGTAAAACGGAAACCAGCAATTTGAAGTTATTGGATACGATGCAGAAGTCTAATTATTTTTACGGGTGTGTTCAGTATAAACCGCAACCCCAAAAGTAATTTTACAAATTTTATTATACCCACAAGATGAGAAGCTATTTTTTTCGTCAATTATTTCCTGATTCGAGCACTTAAGATAATTAAGTTATGAAATGTTTCATTGGTATATGATTTATTTATACACGCAGAGTATATTTTAAGGTTTTGCGACACACCGGTTTGGCTAAAATTATTTATGTTCTTCGGCTAATCTTCGTTTTGATACTAACCGATTAAAAAGAAAAATCTATGTTGTGTAATGGGTTTAATGGAAAATAATAGTAGTAATAGTTTCAATATAACCGTATAACCGTTAGGCAATAAGTAGTGCCTAAGTAGTTGTTTTTCTTGGCTAGTGTTTAATTTGTAGTTATTATTTAATGGTAAAAAAATAGCAACAAAAATACACTCGTTCAACGATAGGTATATGTTTACTGTCCGTGTTTCGTCTTTCGTCCCGTTTGAACGGAACAACGGTAGATGTACAACAGCTAAGATCGGAGAGAGAAAACCGCGGATCGTAAGAATACGGCAGGTGGCGGTGTTTTAATTAGAAAATGTCCGTCCACCGCGCATATATATATACATCATTATATCATCTTATCATCTTGTCATTTTTGCGCCGACTTTCAGACTGTGAATAATATAATACGGGTAAGGTACACCGGCTGTACATACGCGCCCGTACACGACTACGACGGCCGTTAAACGAGTAAATAAATCACACTATAATGAAATTACGATTAAGCGTTTATACTGTGCAAAATAAATTGTATATATAGGTATGCTGATATCTCCACGATGCGCGTATTACACGTGTAATATAATAATAATAATAATAATAATAATATTATAAAATGTAAACGAAAAAGAGAAAACTCGCGCGGATTATTACGTAAAATGCAGTGCCAGCGCAAGAACCGTTCGGTTGTTATCCGACAAAAATCTTGGCGGCCCGAGAGCTGTATCATCTCGCCATTGAAACCTCCGCATAGTTGTTCAGTAAAACGGAGCCACGCGTTAGGTGACGATATTATTGTATTAAATTGTTGATGCGAGCTGCTACATATATTATAATATTATATTAATTATGCAGTTTCCGGCCAACGTACTTCCGCAATCACAGCGTTATTTTCCGACTGATTTCGACGCCCGTCCGCCCTTTGAGAGGACGTCGGCGAATTATTTGTTTTCTCTCCCTCTCCGACCCTACCAAATTTGCATTCACAACAACCAATCTTGTTCGTTAGTTCTAATGTTGGACTGAATTTAGTAGAGGTACCTATTGAACTTTAATCAAACTTAAAAGTCTAGAACGCTGACCGCGTGTTTGTACGTTGGCTTTTTCACAAAGTTTCAATCTTTTTCCAAGTTATGAGTAGGTTATAGTTTAAAAGGCGTAGAATGATACATTTTGTAAAATTTGTTAATATATATAGCAGACGAATTGAAATATTGTTCAAAATCTACCTTTCAGTGTGATAAAAATTAAAAATGTAAATATAAGTGGCAGCTGGTGTATGGTATTGAAGCTGACTACGTCGACAATTGGTTCTATAAAAAATCGTTCCATGTTGTACGTTTCAACGTTTATCGCTTAGAACAGTTCACGAGGACGTGACTCCTCAAAAATAGTATACCTCCCAATGCAACACGAAATTATAATAAGCTGGTTTTTTTTTCTAGTAAGTATAAAGACTTACGAGTGATTGGTGTAATAATAATAATAATATTTTAATACTGTGATCGTCATCGTCATCGGATCGTCGCAGTTGGTTGTGGCTCTCGTTATTAGTTCAGCCACACGGGTCGTCGCAGAGTGCGAATACCTCGAACCGTTTACGAATAAGAAAAATGCATAATTTATAGAAAACGAAATAATTGGCAAAATAACTTCCGAAGAAACGTATAACATAATTATACGTCTATAATTCCATACCATTATGGTTTTCCATCGTACGGTAATATTGTAATAATAACGTGTACCTATTATGTCGTTATTATAACACGGCTTATAACAATATAATATACGAGTACGATATCTCGAAATTCATCAGTCACCGTCGATGGTTACATAAAACG